CTTCTGCATCAGTTTATTTTACATCTATTACAACAGTTTATATTTTATGCAATACTTAAGTGCATTTAGTGACATTTTTTTTCATGAATGGAAGCACGAAAAAAAGGCACTTTGTGCGTGTGTTACACACAATAAACTGTCTATGGTCCTATGTAAATAATACACATTAATGTATATTTGTTCTTAGAATTAGAAATTTTAGTAAATCGTGAACGAAAATCAACTAAATTGTGTCTTTTGTAAATTTGTGTCAACTAAATTTTGTCATCAGGATATTAAAAACAAAAAGGACAGCCGAGTCTGCAGAACCACGTGTTTAGTATCTCTGTTGATTTGGCATGCGATACAGTTGTGTGTTTTATTGGTGAATTCGTTTTAGTTTTCGCGTTTTTTTATGAATAATGTTCAGAAAACGAGGCTTAACTTCAGAGGAACTGGGGAACTATGCGAACATGAATGAGTCTGAATGGGAAGAGTTGCTAAAGGATAATTCAGATGATGACTCGGACTATGAACTATCAAATGAGAAAGGTTCAATAAGTTCAACAGCAAGCGACGAGAGCCCTTTGTCACTTCTGTCATTTTAACAAAATAATGGAAGAGAATTATGTTCCCGATAAATTCTTATGCATTGATAAATCAATGATCCTCTGGCGTGGTAGATTATTTTTTCGGCAGTACATAAGAAACAAAAAACATAAGTATGGTGTGAAATATGAATTGTGTGAATCCCATGGAGTGGTTCTGAAAATTAGAATTTATTGCGGCAAATCTGAAGCCAACGAAACCACTGTTGATATGGGACATACTACAGAGGTCGTATTGCACTTACTGGATAAATATTTGGACAAAAGATATATTGTCTATATGACCAAATCCTCCAACAAAATTTCATTACCTTGAAAGTATACCACCAACAGAAAAAAAACAACGACCAACAAGAGCTTGTGGCATATGTACCACTCGTAATCGTCGTCGAGAAACAAGATATAGATGTGGTGCATGTGAAGAAAAGCCTCCTTTTTGTGTAGAACCCTGCTTCAAAGAATATCAACATGAATAGGACTGTTCAAGCACTTTTTTATTGAACTTCGTATGTTTCTTTTTTATTTTGGAATTTTTAGTTTTTGTCCTTTTACCATAACCAAAAATAATGAATAAATCTGTTTTCTGATGTCCACCTATATTTTAATAACCTTTTGTAGACGATCCAATATAAAATCTCAATGCATATCCCACGAATAATCTCGTGCTCCTTGTGTTGCATTCAACGTTTAACTTCGTATTATCAATTAATTTAATCTGAAAAGGTTTTAACAGAAACTTTTTTTGTATTGTTTCTATTGTAATTTTAAAAGCTGTCAGATTGATACACCTGTCATATATTATTTATGGCAATGTGATGATATCTATTATTTTCCAGTTACATGATTTACATATCGAATTCCCTGAATATTTAGATAGTTCTAATGCATTTATGGATCAGAACAATTTTTAGAAACATAGAAAATACCACTAATAGAGATTTACAACAAAATGCGGGTTTTCCACCAGTTTTAAATAAAAATAGTTTTAAAAAAACATCATAATATACGCTGTGGTAGTGTCTACGAGGTATGCAAAAAAACATGGATTACGTACGATCACTTTCTTCTTCTTTTAGTGCAAATTTGTTTCGAATATTGGCGATCATTTTGGCTATAATTATTTGATTAATTGATGCTTTAAATAGTTGTTGTGAAGAACTATTTCCTCAGGTTTTTTAACCATGATATTCTTCTTCTCCCAATTCCTCGCTTTCGGCATACTTTACCTTGAAGGATTATTTTCAGTAATCTTTATTTAGTGTAGTTTCTTGTTATGTGTCCGATATATTCTAACTTTCTCCTTTTAATCGTCTACACCACTTCTCTTTATTTCCCTATTCTTCATACAGTCTCGTTGGTTATGTTGTCCTTCCATTATATCCTTAGGATTCTTCTGTGTAGGCTCATCACGAATACTTCAAGTTTTTTCTTCATCGCTTCAGGAAGTGTCCAGGATTTAACTCCGTAGTATAATATTGAGAAGATATAACATCGTAGGAGCCTTACTTTTATATCCAGTTTAAGGTTGTGGCTTTTAAACAACTTAGACATGTTGTCGAACGCGCTCCTAGCCTTCTAGACCAGTGTCGAAGCCTTTAAAAAAGGTAAAAAGTAAAAAAATATATAGTAGAATGAAACCTATTGGAAAAAGAAGAGAATATGCTAAAATTGGAAGAAAAAATAAATTACACTCCATCCGAGGTCGGGAAGTGGGGGGTAAAAATCGGTTTATCTTGATTTTCGGCGAAACTACCAGTGCTATGGAAAAAATTAAATAGCAAAATTGTAGGTAACAAAAAGATCTACAACTTTTCTATTTACAGTTTTTTCACATAACCTCAAATGTTTTGTGGAAAATTCAAAAAACTAAGTTTTTGTTATTTTATTTTTATCTTTAAAAAAAAATTTTTTTACGAAATTTGGTGAAAACTTGCTTGAAAAATGTTTGAAATTTATAACACTTGTTTAAATTAATTACCTTATAATTTGATACTTCATTATGGTTGTTCTATTTTTGGTAAGATTTGATCGTTCACTAAAAATTTAATAAAAGTGCGACAACATTGTCGCATATGTCATTTTCATTGGCTATTTATGTAGTTTGAAAATCACTTATTGCATTTTAAAAAATAGATATAAAGGGTGTAATATTTAATACGAATCCCTAAATTAATTTTTCCAAAGCCAGTCCTGGAATTTTTTAGTTTAGCTAACACCAGTCGAATGCTTGATAGTAGTGTACTGTATCATGCAAAAATTTAAAAAATCAAATGAGTCGTATAAACACTACAGTAAAATGAAATAAATGGTCAATTACACATATCACCCTGTTAATTAATAAAGAAGAGGAGTTGACTTTTTTTAGTGGCCACATGATATGCTCCCTGAGGGACTCTACATATGGTAGAAGTATGTAAAGTTCCTCATGACTCACCCTGTGTATATATATATATATATATATATATATATATATATATATGTATATATATATATATATATATATATATATATATATTAATATATATATTGTAAGATTGCCCAAGACAAAAATGTAATTAAACATAAACAATAAACCAGCTTTTTAATTGTTAAAAAAAATCGTATAGCAGTCACATTTTTTTTTGATGAAATTCCCTTTAAATTCTATATTGAATATTTTCAACAGCTATGTTCACATGTCTTTTTGCAATCTTAATGTTTTGTGGATTTATAATTTTTTTGTTTATCAATGTATCATGAAATCTTAAGCTACATGACTAATTACAATATTTATTATAGGAAATATCTCAAAATTGTACATAATGATGAAAAAAAATTTGTTAGATTCGAGTTTTCTTCGTTTTTTGTGAACATTTCCCATCGTAAATTATATATTTTTTTACACTGTCGGAAAGTAGAGATTTCAACGAACAAAAAGCCCACCGACTTTTTTAAAAAGGCTGATATTTTGACGCGTGAATTTTCGATTGAAAATTAGGTTGCTTAATAAATCAATATCAGGTAAAAAAATATATTTTTTCAGTTCCAAAAAATTACAGTGCATTTGATACATACCAAGGCAAGTTGTCACCAAATTTTGTAAAAAAAATCTTTTTTTAAAGAAAAATCAAAAATCAAAAACTTACGTTTTTTTAATTTTCCACAAAAATTTTAAGGTTTTGTGAAAAAAGTGTAAATACAAAAGTTGTAGATCTTTTTGTTACCTACAACTTTGCTATTTAACTTTTTTCCATAGCACTTGTAGTTTCGCCGAAAATCGCGATAAATCCCCCGACCTCGGATGGAGTTTAGTTTATTTTTTCTTCCAATTTTAGCATATTCTCTTCTTTGTCCAATAGATTTCATTCTACTATAATTTTTTTTTTTGGTTTCAAAAATTATCGACCCTGGTCTATTCCCTATTCTACATTTTACTTCTTGTGAGTGATCCCATTGTTCGCTTATTATTGTTCCATGATAGGTAAACTATTTTACTCGATCCACTGGTGTATTCTTGATAAGCAGTCGGACGTCTCTAATTTTATTTTTGCTGATGACCATAAATTTAGTTTTTGATATGTTTACTTGTAGTCCAAATCTTTCACTTACTTCATTTACTTTGTTTATTAGTTGCTGTAAAGTCTTTAAACTGTTTGCAAAAATATCGGTGTCACGACACGATTACAGTGAACACGACATGATCTATCGTGTTCACTGTAAGTCCATCTGGTCATTTCCAAATGCTCTTGTGCAAATTTTTTATGTTCAAGTTAAGTGATCTTGCTAAATTATTATCCTATTGTCATTATCATTCTATTATTGATGGAAAGTGTTGTTACCTATTAAGGATTGGAAAATATTATGTTTTTCCTTTCCAAGTTTTTTTTTAGGTTACCGCATTGAGCTGGCGGTAGTCAAGACAAAAAAGCGTGGAACTATCTTTCTTCTTTACGAGGACTATGTGTGAGGTCTTTAACTACTTGATAGTTTAATGACTCCTCATTTGTCTATATCTAGAATAATTTCTTCAGGTTCATCTCGTTTTGCAAACGAAAGTCTTCTTGGTTGTTGTCTGATTTGCTGAGCGTCTCCGGTAATAATTTTGTGGGCCACTGTCCTGTGCCAAAAACTTTATTCTAACTTTACTGTTTGTGACTGTCATTTTCAAGATGTATTAATGACCATATTAACATCGGATACATTTTCTTCATAGATTTGTCAACCGTAGTCAAGGAATAAAGGAAGTCTATTGTTTCTTTTAAATTTGTCACACTATCTGTTAGACTACTTATCTCTACTTTTTCTAACATAGTTTTTGTTTTGAATTTGACAAACTAAATTCTTCGCACATTTTTATACTATTTGCATTTCATAAGTGGAGTTATTTAAAATTTATTTTAATATACATGTAAATTACAATTAATCATATTTCAGATACTAAACCTCAACAATACCCATATGGTGGTTCAAGCAACACGAATACTGAAACTGGTCAACCCAACAGTGTACAATTCTACCAGAATCATCAAAGTAAACCAAATAGTGAAATTGATCAACACAACAATGTACAATTCCAGCAGAATCATCAAAATAAACCAAATAGTGAAAGGGATCAACCCAACAACGTACAATTCCAGCAGAATCGTCCAAGTAAACCAAATATGGAATTTGATCAACCCAGCAATGTACAAGGTCCTAATTTAAATCCAAATCTGGACCCTGATTACTATCAAACTCCAGACGTAGAAATGACTGACATAGCATATAGATTCAATCTGTTTGATATTGAATTACTAAACGTAAGTATATATCTTTAATTTTAAAACAGTAGTGTGGTACCTACCTGTTTAGGGTCCCTTGTCAAGGGTTACGGATGAAGACCACAACGGCAATCACGGCGAAGAAGAATACCTTCGGCACGACGAGAATGGCGGAAGTGGCGAACCCAGTATAAAGTCAATTTTGACCGAACGATCGTCGGTGTAAGTGATTCCACTCACCTTGCCAGCGGTCTCTGGATAGAGGGCGGATGAGCATACGTGAGACAGGGCACTTTTTTGTCCTTAGGGTGGGAAACTGTCTCTAAACGGCGGATGAACAAAGGATGTCAACGGCATAAGAATACGGAAGGCAATGGGAAACCACCGTATTAAAGGTACCCAAGGATATCCTAAGAAAGACAAGGATGGAAAAGACATTGCAAGCAACGGCCCCTAGTCCGTGGCAGGCCTTAATTGGCCAAGGGGTGCTAAGAATCTCCGCGAAGAAAAACAATGCTAGGAACCACCCGAAAGTAGGAACAACCCCAAAGCTAAAACTGGGTACTTGGAACGTAAGCCGGTAAACCAGACAGCATATTACAAGAAATGGAACGATGCTAGAAAAAAAACTTTTTTTTTTGTTTTCGACACCGTTCATAGGTATCTTGTCAATCAGTTACCAGCTGAAGTCCGTTTGAAGAGGTCTACTCTCCGGTCGCTGGTACTCACGAGAGGCATGGTTATATGTTGCCTGAAGTTAAATCTAATAAAATATTAAACATCATTCAACAAAATATTAGGGTAAAACATAGGTTTTACCCTAATATTTTGGTGGCTCAGGCATGTTAACCTGCTTTTAACCTGATGATGGAATTATTATTCCGAAAACGTTTGTTATTTTGGCGTAGCCCTTCTAAGTGTTTTTTAAATATACCTACTTGCAAAGATTTAAACCTCTTTTTGTGATACATGGTATACAGCCAGCTGCAGGAATTTATTTTCCTTGTGGATTTTGTATTGAAAAAGTACACCGATTTAAATATCTGGGATATACAGTAAATGATAAGTGGGACCCAGACGTAGAGATTAAGATCCGAATTGAAATAGCAAGATCCAAATTCATCAAAATGCAGAAAGCGTCATACCTGGGCCATGTGTTCCGTAATGATAAGTACAGTCTGCTACAGATTATCGTGGAAGGCAAGATTGAAGGTAGAAGCGGTTTGGGCAGAAAGAAGAAATGCTGGCTGAGAAACTTGAGAGAATGGTTTCAAATTCCAGCAGCTACGAATATAGTACATGCGGCACAAAACAGAGAAATCTATCGTTTGATGGTCGCCAACCTTTGGTAGAAGACGGCACATAAAGAAGAAGAATAGCCCTGCCCGGTTGAAATTATTTTGTGTTTAAATAAATAAAAAAAATCGAACTTGCCTATATATTTACATTTTTAAATAAATTTATGAACAATATTTTCTTTCAGTCCTTTAGTGATTTATCTACGAATGTATTAATATCACCTGCCAGCATCAGAACAACATTAGCAATGATTTTAGAGGGATCAGAAGGATCTTGTGCAGAAGAACTAAGCGAAGCACTGAGGATAAAGGATATTACTCAGAAAGGTGTCAGAAAAATCTTTCGAGAACTTTCAAATAATCTTAATGTAAGTAGAACAGCTTTATATTAATTTTTAAATTGTACGAAAACCATACGTTGAGTTTTCTGTAATTAGTCTAAAAGTGTTAAATCCATTTTAGGAAAATTCACGAAACACAGTCATAGAAAGTCATAATGCTATATTTGTCTCTGACAAATATCGACTGTTTGATAATTATAGGAATATTATTAAAAACGATTATGACGCTTACATAACCAACATAAATTTCAGACAGCAACAAAACGCTGCTAATTTCATTAATAAATGGATATCTGAAGCCACTCATAACGAAATAACCGATGTTGTCTCACAACGTAAGTATTAAATAAAGTTATTAATGAAAGTTTTACAACTATGTTGTACAACCTGGTAAACTTTTAATTCCTTGTCCTCCAGTTTTTTTAGTAGGACTTCTCTTTTGTTCTACTGTTCACCTTCCTACAAGGAGCCCATTCCCATCCTTATTCCGCCATTCTCGTCAAATAACCCAGTCCTGTTTTGTTCTACCATTTACCTTTCCACAAGGAGTCCTATCCACATTTTACTTCCGTCATTCTCGTCAGATAAAAGTAAATTTATTTTTCTCCTACTAAAATCCCAAATATTAGTAGCGAAAAATAATTTACGGTTTGTTTACATTATGTGAATTTAAAAAGACTTCGTAGTACCACAGTGAGACATTTCTGAAAAAAAAACTCGCTTTCAATAAAAACTAGTGTTTGAAGTCATAAAAAGTAAGTAAGGTTATTTACAATTCGAAACAGTCATACTGGTGGAACTCTGGCCGTTATTTCTGCGACGTTGCCAAAGTTAAAAATAGTTCTGCAAACTGAGGACTGATAGGAACTGGATTTTTGAGCGGTTGAAGCGGATCTAGTTCCTTTCACGGTCCTTAGAAACAGATATGATGTACACGGATAGTGATAATATCGTATCAGAAGTTAATAAGAGAAAAGATAGAGGGTGAACTTCACCTTTCCTGCAGAGCAAAAAACTACCAAACTCCTAAGCAAAAGAGAACCAAAAGAAGGAGATTCAGAGGAATTGGATGACTTTATGAGCATGTTCAAGATGGTAGGGAACTGAAAGAAATCAGGAATGAAAATAAGAAATATAGAGAAGAGATGATAGCGCTGAAAAAAGAAAATATAAAGATAATTCAAGAATTGGAAGGAACAAAAAACAAATTAACCCAGGTTGAAAACAAAGTAGAAAAACAGATAAAAAGAAATAACATAGAAATTACGGGTCTATCAATAAACGCAACAGATGAAACACTCTTAAAAAATAATGTAAAAGATTTTATACAAAAGCACCTAAAAGAGGATGTCGAAATAGAATCTGCAATGAAGTTAAAGAACAATATGTTGTCTGGTACAAATAAAGGATTATAGCGAAAAAAATTAAGGTAATGAAAGAAAAAAAGCAAACTCAGATTTCTTACTGGAGAAAAGATCTTCATCAACGATGACCTGACCGAAAAAGAAAGACACATGAGGCAGGAAATCGTAAATAAAGGCAAGGAATTAAGAGCTGAAGGTAGAAATGTGAAGATAGGGTACAAAAAACTAACTGTGGATGGTATAAAATGGGTATGGGCCGGAAATGGTACTTTCAAACAAAAAAATTACAGAAATATGGACCCAAAAAACGGCATATAGTAGTGGAAAAAGGAAAAGATGGCCCATTATGCCAACGGACCCTAGCGATGAACAGGAAAATGAGTTTGAACATAAGTAGCAAAATAAAAAATAAGAATATGTACCTTAATATTATGACATGGAATGTACGAGGAGGGAGCATTAATTAACCTAATAGAAGAACTTAAAAAATATAAAATACACATCTTAGTAATACAGGAAACACATTTAACTAGAAACAACATTAAAAAGATTAGCCTATATACGTTTTATACAAGTGGAGGCGATAATAGGAATTTTAGAGTGGGTTTTCTGGTACATGAAGACGTGGAGCAGGTAAAATGATTCGTAGTAAAATCTGACAGAATATGTGCAATTAGAATTAAAGGAAAAGAGACTATGATATCGTTGATAAATATACATGCTCCAACAGAAGAAAAAGAAGAAGTAAAAGATGAATTTTATGAAGAATTAGAGTCATTGTGTGAAGAAATGCCCAGACAAGATACTAAAATTATTATAGGCGACGCCAATGCAAAGGTCGGAAGAGAAGATATATAAAAACATAACAGGGGTTAAAAGTAAACATTTGAATACAAATGATAACGGACAAAGATTAATAACATTCACAATTGAAAACAGGATGAAGATAATGATTACAGGAAAGTTTGTGTTGTTGATTCTCATTTCATTTCTAGCGCAAAAGTTTATTAGTACTTCGCCGTTTTCATTAATTATTTCTTTGTTGTATTTTTGTTTTATATTGCGCAGATTGAGATTGCGCAGAGGTCAATATTGTGTTTCTTCATTTCTATTATGATCTCCTAGACTACGAAGTAGTCAAGAGTTAAAAACTCAAATTCTTCTTTTTCCTACTTTATAAATAGGCTTAATGCCTGTTTTACTTCGGTTTTTAGCCTCAATTGACGTTTTTTGACCATCTTTTCCTCGATCGTCCCAATGATCTTCTTCCATTTGACCAAAACTCAATTTCAGGCAATAAAACTTCCAGTGTGTCTTTATCGTTTTCATATAGTTCCTCTTTGAACTGTTAAGCTTAATATTGCCACAACATGTGATCTAATAATTTACAGTTATTTTCATGGTATTTTATTACAGTTTAAATGAACATTAACAATTTTTTTTTCAGAGTCTATAGATCCTAATTCCTACGTGGTGCTGTCGAACGCCCTGTTCTTTAAAGCACAATGGAAAAATGCTTTTGATAAAGCTATAGATAGATGTTTTAAGACTCCTAAAGGATGTGTTACAGTTGACATGATGCACATTTCACATAATTTCAAATACAATTATATTACCCGTTTGAGAGCCAACGTTGTGGATATTCCTTATCAGGTAATGTATTTGAATTATCATATAGCATATAAAAAATATATCCTAAAGAAAAATTTTTAATTTCTCACATTTTTCATATACACCGGGTGTAGTATTATTCCTAAAATATTATAATTCATTCATTCATTCAAAATATAATTTCAAAAGTAACATGTGTGACATAGTTTCTCATTTGTTTATATAAAATATGTTTTTAATAAATTGAATCGAGGTTTGTTAATAAAACAAACTTGACCCAGTAATGAATAATTGCTGATATATGCAAGGACATATTATAAAAGAGACAACGATTATTATCTCGGAGATCAGAACTAATTTAACGTCAAGATGGCAAGTTAATGTATCACGTATTGTCACAACGTCAACTAAGTACTACATATTACATTTAAGATAAGTAACATTGTAAGAGTGGACAGTAGTGTTTTCAATAAATGTACCATACGAAACCATGTTACGTGAAGCGTTATTTATTACATGGCAATCCTGTCAGGATCGTCTTGCAAAATTAAGCGTTTTTTCCTAAAAACTGGCGTTTAGAAAGGTTTAAGATGTTCACAATTGAGAATTTAATAATAAACAAAATTTAAAAGTCAAATTTATTACAACTCAAGAATGTTACACAGAAAAACAATAAACAATTCAAAAAATTTGAAAATTTGTAAAGAAACAATTTGTTTTTTAATATAAATATTTATTATGGAAAACGATATTTAGTAGAGTGTATTACCTCCACAAGCCCTAATTACGGCTCTTATTTGATCAGGCATACTTCGTATTAAGGCAGCAAAGTCTGCTTGGGGGATTATGGAGAACTCCAGTGCAATCTTTGTAAATAATTCACTGGAGTTCTCCATAGTCGTTTTGCCAACGACTGGTTTTGTGAATTCCATTAATCGTTTAGAGGTGAAGTTGGTTGAATATACTGTATGTGTAAAAAGTGTTGTTGTTCGCACAAAACATCTAAACAGGTTCAAACAAGAAAAAAACGTTATCGCTAATAAGGCATAAAATACAATTCAAACAAATTAAACAAGTTTTTATCTAAACACCAACAAAAACCATAAAAATTTGAGTGTCCGGTGCACTCCAGTGTATTTCCTATTTTTCATGTTTTTCATATTTTTCGTATTTTTCATATTTTTCATATTTTGCATTTTTCGTATTTTTCATATTTTTCAGATTTTTCATATTTTTTATATTTTTCATATTTTTTTTATTTTTGTTTTTTTCGAATTTGTCAGATTTTTCATGTTTTTTTTTTGTATTTTTTCGTTTGTTTCACACATTTAATCTAATTATCGTACATATATACAGGGTGTTTCAAAAAGGTATGTCATAAATTAAATCACGCATTCCGGGGACAAAAATAAATTAATTGAATCCAACTTACCTTAGTACAAAAGTGTACACAATCAAAGTTACAGCCCTTTGAAATTACAAAATAAAAATTGTTTTTTTGCATTATCTCCTAAACTGCTTGACATTTTGTAATAAAAATGGACACGTTACTTTCTTGTTCTGAAAGCATTTTTCATACAAAAGAAACAACAAAATCTAAGGGCACAGACAAATTTTAAGGGGGGGTGTGTAGCCCTAAATCCCCCAAACTTTTGAGTACGTTCAAATCAAATGAATTTTGTGGCATCATTAGTTTAACACATTATTTTTTAAAAAAATTTGTCTGATTACTCTTTTCAAAAAACAGTTTTTATTGAGTTACGACCCTTTTCATTAACCTTTAAAAAATTACGTGCAACTAAATGGCTTAAATGAATTAACAAGTACAAAAAATGTCTATTATCCCTATAAATATGATATTACAATAAATGTTCAAAATGACCCCAATTTTCTTCAATGCACATTCGGTATCGTTTTAATAAGGAAAACCGAATGCGCTGAAAAATCATATTTTTCCGACGAAATTGCATTAGTACCCCTTCCAATCCACCGACCAGGATACTGCTTACAAAGGTATTCCCGGACTTCATTACTGTAATGCGGTGGAGCGCCATCTTGTAGAAACCACATATTTTGCCTTATTGCAATATTCACTTCTTCAAAATACTCTTGGAAATCGTTTGCCAAGAACTGCAAATAACAATTATCACTATTTAAATTGTTGGAAAGAAATACTGGGCCTATTAGATTGTTATTCACAATTCCTGCCCAAACATTAACTTTTAAAGGCCTTTGGTGATGAGTCGTTTTTTTGGCGTGAGGATTTTTGCATTTCGACTAGCATTTTTTCGATTTTAAAACCTAATGATGGACTGTGTGGTCCGAAAACGTTTGTTTTATTGATGTAGCCCTTTTAAGGGTTTTTTTAATAAATATACCCATTTACGAAGACTAACCTCTTTTTTGTGATACGTGGTATACAGCCAGTTACAGGAATTTTTTTCCTTGTGAATGTTTTTTAGGATAATCTTCAACCAATAACTCTTGAACCGTTGTTAAGTGATAGGGTTTAAGCAGCTGATCCTTCAAACCCTTACGTGAGGAACATTTCGTTGAATAGCTATTACTCTTGTATTTGTTCCAGGGACTTCCTCAATGATTTCTAAAATGTCTTCATCAGTTGCATCCATTATTGGACGACCACTATTGCCAGCAACTTGCGGTTGGAATGTACCCGTTTCCCGTAAACGACGATCAATGGTCAGAAATAATCATCTATCGGGTGTATTTCGATTGGGGTAATTGGGCTAATTGTAATTTTATGGCCAACTAGGAAAAAACTAGTTTTTCGAAAAAGTGATGAGGCAAAATTTTTTAAAAAATAATGTGTTAAACTTATGATGCCACAAAATTCATTTGATTTGAACGTACTCAAAAGTTTGGGGGAATTTAGGGCTGCACACCCCCTTAAAATGCTGCCTTTCTGTGCGCTTAGATTTTGTTGTTTCTTTTGTATGAAAAATGCTTTTAGAACAAGAAAGTAACATGTCCATTTGTATTACAAAATGTCAAGTAGTTTAGGAGATAATGCAAAAAAAACAATTTTTATTTTGTAACTTCAAAGGGCTGTAACTTTTTTTGTGTACACTTTTGTACAAAGGTAAGTTGTATTCAATCAATTTATTTTTGTCCCTGGAATGCGTGATTTAATTTGTGACATACCTTTTTGAGACATCCTGTACATTCTTCGTATATTTTTGTATATTTTCGTATTTGCTACATATATTTTTTTATATTTCTCATGAATTTTTGATATTTTTCCCAATTTCCACCAAAGTCAATCTTTAAGTAGATATTTAATTGAGATTTGTATATATGCAGCACAACAGGCCTTGTATTGCTATGGTTTGGAGTGTTTTAACTACTTTTTTCCACGTTACTGTGGTTATGGCCCAGTTATTCCGTTTCTTATTCCCATTTTTTCCCGGGAATATTTTTCATATAATTTTTAATACATTTTTCATACTATTCAAATTTTTCATATCTTTTGTCTCATTACATTAAATCCTACCTTCAGCTAGACATATTATTTACATATCTACCAACAGCACAACCGGCCTCATGGGGTTATGTCTAGGAGTTTTCCAACTATTTTTATCTCCATAGCTCAGTTGTCCTGTTCCTTATACCCAGTTTTTAAAGTTATCCTTGCAAGCTTAAAGCCATTTTCCCCTGATCTTCCTCGTCTCCTCTCCCGTTCTTCTCTCTGAGGGAGTCTTCCATTCACCATTTTTAGCATCATTTTGCTCTAATAGTCTGGTTAATTTCAGGCTTCCCGTACAACTCTCCAATGTCTGCATTTGTTTTTCTTCTACAAGGGTTTCTTTAATCTCTCCCCTTTAAGATTTTCTCAAAACACTTCGTTCCTAGATGTTCAACACATTTTCCCTGTTTTTGTTCATGATCCAGGTTTTACTACCGTAAGGAGACCTGGGTTGGATTGCCGTTCGATATGACTTCAACGTTGTTGTTATGGTAATACCTAGGTGCTCGGATTCATGAACTTTCTCGAACCAATATTTCCTTAGCTCATTGTTTGTGTCTGTATTCAGCTGCTTATTTCGTGAAATTAAATAATTTTATACAAAATTAAGTGGATACGATGGATCATTATAATTTGATGTTTAATTATAATATTAACTGTATTTTAATTTTCAGGATAAATTCTCCATGCTACTGATAGTACCAGCTTCAGATTCAAATGTAGGAAGAGTGATTCGGGAACTACAGCACATGGAACTGTCAACCATTTTGGACAATCTAAGTGAATCCGAGATTGTTCTAGAACTACCAAGATTTAGTTTCGAGTATTCTGTAGATTTGGTTGAGTTTTTGAAAACACCACCTGTAAGTACACCATTTAACAACTAAAGAAAGTGAACTATGACCATTATCATACTTTGCTGACTGTTATTGCTGTTGTGCATTGTCCTTTCGCTTTCTTAATTCTGTATTTTATTTGTTTTTTCACTTTTTTGTACACCTGATTATCTTTGTTTTTATATCTTCACTGTATAGCATATTGAATTAATTATATTTGACATTGATACCGATTCTCCTTCTGTCTTCTTCTTGTTATGGTGCCTTATTCAATTAATCAATGTTGACGATTACTTAATGAATGTTGGCGGCAAATTGTTCTCCATTCTCCACTGTTCTTATTAGATCTTCATAGTTTATATCCGTTCAATGTCGTGCATTTCGAATCCAAGAGAGTTTTTTGGGGGGGGGGGAAGAACATATTTCGTCCACATCTTGTCGTGCACATCTTGTCCACATCATATCGTGGAGTATTTCTATAGCCTTCAAATACTCGTTTAGAAGTTACTTTTGGACTTAAAAGTATATCCCTCTGTTGCTGCTTTATCTCATTTTTACACTCTATGGTGTCTTCTTGTCTTTGTCTTTTTAATACTACTGTATACCGATTTCCTTGGTTTACATTACGAACTTTAATAGCTGTTGCATAACTTCTATCATATTTGCAATTTCTCTATATTGAATACTCTCCATTACCACAGTTTTCCTAATTACTCTTTGAGTGATTGCTGAGTGATTACCTTTATATAACACACAATTAGGTTCCAAATGACCATATCTTAAGAATTTCAACTACTTTTGAAATAATGTATTAATTCACTTGATATATCATTTTTTCAATAATTACGGTTTTGGAGAGAGTTTATCATTGGGAAGGTCAAACGGTCAAATAGGTCAAAGTCAAAGATCACTAGTGTAGGACACAGTTTCTATAATTCTATAAATTTAATATTTTATTTGCACTACTGGCTGAATTCAATTCCATTTTTAACTTAATTTAATTCTCTCATTGCACAGATGTTATTTTCTCAGAAAAAGAATCAAATTAGAAATACCTAACTTCTAATTATTTGTATTTTCAAGACTGTTTTGTTACTGTTTTTCAAGAATTTCGCCCATTCATCTGTTTTTTTATTATAATAGTCCAAAATCCTACTTGAAAGTTATGTTCGGATCATTGATTATTCATTGATCATCATATTAATAGCACTTACTGCCAATTTTGTTAAAAAATTAAATATAACCCTAATATTTATAATTCCGTGACAGTATTTTAGCTTTTTCTGGTTGTCTTAACGATATATAATGGAATTACTAAGAAGAGATTGTAGCTGACATGATTAAATATGATGACCATTAACCAAAATTAATTTTTTAAGTTTCACTAAAAAAATTTCTGCTTTCAGTTTAAAATCCGAGAAATATTTGGTGCAAATGCTAACTTAACCAAAATGATTGAAGGCCAGCATGGTATGATAAGCAACCTGTTACACAAGACCAAAATTAAAGTAGATGAATTTGGAACAACTGCAGCAGCATCCTCCAGTGCCATGATAATTCCCTTGATGCAGCCAGTGACAGTTTCAGCTGACAGACCGTTTATTTTTATAATCTATTACAGAGAAAATAAAAATATTATATTTGAAGGAATTGTTCAAAATCCTAGAGAATGATAGTAACTAAGTTTGATATTTTTTTATTTAATGTGCCGAAAATTCATCTAGGTTAGAACATCATTTAAAACTGTAGTTAATTGTAAAAATTGATGTTTACTTGCTTTTTTCATATAAATATTTTTAAATAAATTGTTTAATATAGTTTTGGTTTTATTTTTTATGAAATAGCATTGTTACGAACCTGTTATTGTCCAATATACGCTTTCTGCGCCAAACACTATCTATCTATATAAGGAAGCTGTCGCCGCCTTCCTTCTTTCAGCCAACGTCTCCAGTCCTTTCTGTTCTGCCATCCCTCTTCTGTCCACTTCATCCCTCTATGATCTTCGAGGTCTACCTCTTTTCCTCCTTTCTATTGGGCTCCAATCCGAAATCTTTGCTATCCACCTTGTATGATCTGTTCTTCTCATATGTCCATACCAAATTAAATGTTTTTCTTCGATGTAGCTGAGTATGTCTTGTTCTACTACCATTCTTTTATCTCCTCATTCCTGATGCGATCTATTTTTGTCACTCTGCAGCTTCTTCTCGTGAACTCCATTTCAGTTGCTGTGATGTTGGACCCGTTTCTTTTATTTATTATCCAATTCTCTGCTCCATAGGTCATTATACTGCGTACCAAGGTGTTATAAATTCTCTTCTTTGTATTTCTGGTAATTTGTCTATCCCACAGTACCCCGTTCATTTGGTTAATACATGTTCTTGTCTGTGCTATCTGCTGGTTATCTCTTGCTCGGTGGTTCCATTTTTTTGAGAGTATGAATCCTAAATATTTGAATTTTTCAGTGCCGTTAATTTACCTATCATCGTCCATTTCCAAGTTTCTCACTGGTTCTTGCTCTGTTGTTAAATATTCGGTCTTTTCTAGGTTTATTTCCAGTCCATTTTTTGTGTATTCCTTTTCTAATTTTCTGAGCATATAGCACAGATCTTCTTCATCTTGAGCCGTTACCACTTGGTCGTCTGCAAAGCTTAATGTGTACAAGAAGTTGTCCCGGATTGGTATTCCCATCCCTTCACATTTCATTTTCCATGGTTTTAATATTTGTTCGAGGAATACCTTGAACAGTGTCAGAGATGTAGAGCATCCCTGCAATAAGCCTTTTGTGGTCTTAAATTCGTTGGAGTATTTATTGCCGGTTTTAACTCTTACCTTGTTGCTGTTGTAAAGGTTTTTTACAGCTTCTATTAACCTCTGAGTTATTCCGATTTCATTCATCGTATTTCATAGTTGTTTTCTGGGAACCGTGTCATATGCTTTTTTAAAATCTGTGAATGCCATGTGTACTGGTCTATTTTTTGGGCATCTTCAGTATGATGTAGACAAGTTAGAAAAGAAGCATGTTAACTTAGCTGCACTGTACTGAAGACAACCAATAGTCAGAAGTAGCTATATATGTTTGCTTTCCATCGATATACCTATTTTGGTTTTCCTGTTTTGCAAGATATGCAATTACATTGTACTTTTATTATTCACTTGCATTAACCTTTTCCATTATTCTATGTTAGTGTGATCAAGTAACAAATCTTCAGGTTTCTACTGCGACAAATATATTTCGCTAATATTATAAAAATCTCTAAAACATAGGGTGCATACCTATCAAATTGCCATTGTCATGTCAATTCTAATAGCGTGGTTTGTGAAGTATAAGCAGCTTTGCCTAAACATAAGAAACTTTGTTTACAAGTTTTTCTTGATGTAAGGATGAACTGTGTTAAATTTGACATTAATAGTTCTTATTTATCTCATATTCTTGTTTTGTCTTTTCTTGGTGGACAAATCATAGATTCTTGAAACTTAGCACCTTCATAGGCTTCTCTTAGATTATATTATAAATAACTAAATGGTATTGTTCTAACACCTTTTAAGATGTCCATTGTGATGACGTTTTTTTAGAAGGCATAACACAATAGTCTATTTGATTATCTGACTTTTAATAATATATTAAATCCCAATCAATTTGGTTTTATACAAAGAAGTTGTACTTAGATGTCATGTAGCTCATTAATATCCTCAAGAACTATAATATTAGAGATGTAGTACTGGATGTTTTTCATAATTAGGTATAGATGTATAGTGATTTTTTAAATATAAAAATTGGAATACCTCTGCAGTGAGTCCACTATTTTTTATTGCTTATATAAATCCTTATTTAAGTATGGTCATAAATAGAGTCACTATTTTATTTGTAGATGATACAGTCCTAGTTTTTAAAGACAAAAGTTTGCAAGCACAGTGATTGAACGTTTTGTAAAAGTTAAACAATGACCCGATAATAATAAATTAACTTTTTAAACACAGATAAATCTTTTTATATAACATTTTCATTAAATAATACAAACAGACTAAATTTTATTTGTATCAAAGTACATGATTCAGATATTAGTAGAGAAACTAATACTCTCTGAAATTTTTAGGCATTAAAATTAACCAGAATCTGAAATTTACTGATCGTATTCAAAATCTATTCAGTAAAATTAGATGTTTAATACATAAATTTTATACTCATATAGTGAAGTCATTCTGGGGGATATGGTAACATTGTATGGGGAGGGTTCTATGACAATAAATTGAACCAGTTTGATGTGGTACATTCTGCATATCATCTATTTTACAGGTAGAATTTATCCTACAAATTTCTATATTTTTCTGTAGGTATGTAAGGAAAAACCCCATAGAATTTAAGATTAATGTATTTTATTCTTTTTATATCCTGTTTTCCTTTTCTTGAAGAAATTGTGCTGGAATTTGAAAACTTCGAACACAGGTTCCTTTTGGTGTAAGCAATTTGGTCTCAATAGGACTTTTTCTTTTCTTCCTTTATGAAGGAGTAGTCCTAGAGTCTTGAAACTGAGTATATGGATTGCTGGTGATATAAGAAGGGACCTTATTGAATTTAGAGTCAATATAACTTCTTCTCGCATACTTGATACAAAAATGATTTTTAGTGTTCTTAAAGGACAATTCTTATATTTTAGAGACTTGGTAGATAGATTGGATAGATGGGCTAATAGTTGTTATTTATTTTCTTTTTCTTGAAGGAAATGTTCTCGAATTTGGAAACTTGGTACAGAGATTTCTTTTTATGTAAGCAATTTGGTCTCAAGAGATCTTCCTCTTTTCTTTTTCATGAAGGAATAGTCCTACAGTCTTGAAACTTGGTATATGGCTTGCTGGTGATGTAAGTAAGAACCTTTAACTAGAACCTATTGAATTTAGAATGAATGTAACTTCTTACAATCTAATTGTTTGTTTGTTGCAGTTTTATATCTTGTTCTACATATAAATCTAGATCATCTGGAAATGTGATTTTTTTACAATGTATATATCCAAGATGCCATTATCAATTATCTTCCTCAAAATAAGGTCTACCACCAAAATTCAAATATTAGTGCAAGTGTAAGTATCATTCTTGATCCCTTTTTCAATCTTTTGATGGAAATCTGGGAACAGGAAAAATTACGGATGTATGGAGACATGGAACAATATGTCTCGTCTATGATATACCATAGTATGAGGATTACAAGGGTAATACTCTTGTAGATGCACTCTCTATGAGATACTCCCCTGAATGATAAAAAGGAAATTAGGAAAGTAAACACAAAAAGAATATTTTTTTTGTACACATTATAACAAATATTTACTTACTTAGCAAATTGCATTCAGAATTCGGCCATATTATAAAAACTGTAAACTTTATCACAATATTATGGCCAAATATTTCAAAGCCAGCAATTCACAACCATACTCTATGGTTGATTACTACATACTGAAAGTATTTAGGCGGTGATCAAGAAATATGATCCTTATAGATAATCAAGTTAAAAGATATTTGTGGTATACAATTTATTGTACGTCAGGCATATCTGGGTTAAGATAGGACTTCTGAGGTGGATAGGACATGTTTTGCGGATGGAACAAAATGCTCCCCAAAACGCTCCTTGATAGACCCATTGGTCAGAGAAGAAGAAAAAAACCCAGAACAAGGTTTCTTGATATCGATGAAGACATGAGAGATATGGGAATCAGCGACGTCTGGAAGAAAGTACATCGCTACAAAAACCGAAAGCAGTCCAATAAACTCCCGTTAAACTGCGAAGCTGCATGGATAAAAGATTTCCACTTTAAATTCACCTCTTTGGGTACCAAATCAAATAAACGAAGCTACAGTCACTGTTTCCAGAGAATACTCCAATCTAAAAAAACCATTTGAATTGTGGGAATTAAATTATGGACTCAAACAAAATAATAGTTCGTCTCCAGAGATGAATTGTAGATCATACTCTATGTTATATTTTTTACCAACAGAATACAAATCATTATTATTACAAATGTTTAACAATATATGGCAAAATAAGAATTTAATTCCCAAAACATGGAAGAACTATATTGTATTACCTATAAAGAAGTCTGGAAAGCCAGATAACAAAGTTGAGTCTTACAGACCTATATCTTTAAGTTCTTGTATGCTAAAAACTCTAGATTAATCAAAAATCGGCTTGAATACTGGCTTGAATTCTAAGATATCCTTCCCAAATCTCAATATGGCTTCCGGAAATCCAGGTCTACACAAGATGCTCTCACTTCACTAGTTTACTCTGTTCAGGTCAATTTCACAAATCAAGAATCAACAGCTGCAGAATTTATAGATGTAACCTCTGCATTTGATGGCCTTAAAAATAAATGAGAAACTTTTAGCGCCAACGCTAACGAATATAGGTATACCACAGGGTAGTATTTTAAGTCCACTGCTCTTTTCATTGTACAATATAGATCTAGAACAGATAGTACCTCCACAATCTCATATATTGCATTTTGCAGATGAAGTTGTGTTGTTCCCATACTACCCTTGACATTTGTAAGTGTCAACTATCTACACTAGATTATGTAAAAAATTATTCTCTAGGCTTATCAATATCAACTACAAAGACTAGATTTTTTTTTTTTTTCAAAAAACGCCAAACTCCTCAAAGTAACTTCAAAGTAGGACAAATAGAATTTCCAATCAAAAATTGTGTAAAATATCTAGGCACATATTTGGATCGTAAACTTTTATGGAAGGAAAGGCTCATTCTATTATAAAAAATCGGAAAACTCCATGAATATCCTTAGAGCATTTTGTAAAACCAGTTGGGGAGCT